TGATTAGGCAACAACAGGGATTGCCATGTCCTAAGGCACCTAAGTTGCTAAAGGTGGCTAACAAAAATGTTTTTGAAGATAATAAAGAGGCCGACATAAGGGAATCAATGGAAGAGTTACCAGAAATTTCTTCTGGGAGATCAAATTTTGAGCGTGGGAAGAAAGATGAAGAAGATCCAGAGCAACCCCTCATTATTCAGTTCGATACATTACCTCCTGTTATGACTAATAATTATTTACTAGCCAATGAATTCAAAAGTAAAGAAAATGGAGAGGAGGAAATGGAGGATAACGAGGAAAAAACATATGTGCTGGAATGTGAAGAAGGCTAAACATTTCGGGAGGTATATGGTGAATAAGAGGATGATGGCATGACGAATATCGAAGAGGAAATTGATTTAGAAGCAAAGAGAAAAAATAGAGGAGTGTTGCGCAATACTTTATTGAAACAACTACATCGGGAAGGTGTTCGCGAGGTGGATTTGTTGGGAGAACCATCTGGGCGTTCTTTTGACTACTATGTATTATATGGGACGCCCAAGAGAAAGGTGAGAATACCTCACTCTGAAAAGTATGGATCACCTCCAAAAATATTGCCTCCCCTACGGGTTGGGTAATTGAAGAAGAAGCATTAGAAGAAAGAAAGGAAGAAATCCAAAAATCAGAAACTCAATGTGAAATATTGCACGTTGACTTGTTCCAAGGAAATAATTCAACGTAGGACAAACGGGAAGTGGAAATAGATGCATCTGAAAAGGTTATCTTTAAGAAACCAACTATGAAATTGACCAAACACTTGAGGCCATTGTATGTAAAGGTCTTAGTCAATGGTATACTTGTGGCAAAATTGCTCATCAACAATGGAGCATCTATAAATACCATTCCGTCTATAATGATGAGAAAATTTGCAAAGATAGAAAGCGATATAATCCCAGTAGAAGTCATTCTCACAAGTTTTAATATGGGAGCAACTTCAGCTAAAGGGGTGATACCACTGGACATAACTGTGGGAACAACTACCAGGACCACAGTCTTTTTTGTGATAGATGGTCCTACTAGTTACAATGTGCTACTAGGAATGGACTGGATTCATGGGAGTCGTTGCATACCTTCATCGCTCCAGCAGTGCCTAGTTTTCTAGAACGACAAAGGCGAAGCAGAAGTGGTGCAAGCAGACCATAGACCCTTTGTCGAATAAGCAAACTCAGTAGAAATGTTCATGTACGAAGAAAATTATGGACTTATCAGAGTAGTTCAAGATAGGGAAGAGACTCAAATTGTCGCACAGAGTGAATAGTCATTTTCAGTAGATGCACTTACTGAAATATTTAATCAAATGAGGCCAAACATAGTGGCCCTTGAAGAGCCAGTAATTGGCAAAAAGATAATTAAGGAACTCTAAATGAGTTGTCTAACTTGTCTCAACAAGAAAATATGGCTGACCTTGCAATGACTCGCATGTTGAACCACCGGGTCACCGGTTGAACCACTAACCCATTGACCAGCTGCATTGTCCGGGTCGAGTCAGACAACTATGATGTAGACTGTATTTCTATTTTTATTCTTTCTTTTTTTTGCAGGTTTTGTTAATTTGTGAATTATGAGAAATGAGAATTTATGTTATATTATTGTCTGAGACTATGAGTTATGACTTATGATTTTGAATCATGTTTGTGTATTGTGAAATGTGAATTGTGATTTGGAAATTTAGGGTTTTAGGAAATTAGAATTTAGGGATAAGTGAAAAAAATTAATGGTGAAGATGTTTGACAGTTATAAATTTATCGAATTATATTTTCGGATATTACGATCGTTGATTGTCAACGGCCATCGGTCATCGGTCACCGGTTACCGGTCACCTATCATCGGTCAACGGTCTCCACCCTAACTGAACTAAAAGGCTAGATTCACCCCTAGTTGTAATAGAAGGACAAATGAACGAATTTCATCCATTACTAAAAAATGTTCTTTGACTATATTTTGAACAATTTTAAAAGGACAAAATGGTATATTTATATTTAAAAAACACACACAATTATAATAACTAAATTAAAAACACAAAAAATTAAATTTAAATCTACACCCCATCCGCACCCCCACCTACTCCCAAACATCATCTTCTTCCCCAAATTGAAAACCAAGGTATTCTCATTCCAATATTACATAGAGATCTACTATTTGTACATAAAATATATTATCAAAATTATTACAGAAGACACTTCGCAATTTTTTGTTAGATAGTGGGAAAAATAAAAACAAACAGACCAAATAGATGTTGCTGTGTATTAATTTTGGTAGAACTGCTTTTGTACAAGTAGAATTCATCTATTACATAGGATTGAAATTTCCATTTTTTTTGCTGCCTATTCTTCCCATTGTTCGAGTCTAGCGGGCAACTCGGCTTATCTAGCAGAGGTAGGGACGGATTTAGTGAGGCTAGACCGGGCCAGGCTGTAGTCCGATTTAGTCCTGACCCGGTAATTTTTTTTAGTGTAAAAAATCTTTTTCTTGTAAAACGATTTTTTTTTTTAATTTTTTTTCTACTTTTTAGCCTGCTTGTAATCTGGTCATGGATCCATCTCTGAGCGGAGGTGACGGCTAATAAAAAAAATTAAGTTGTTTACAAGTTCAATGTTCATGAGATCATCAACTACAACGACTGGGCAATTTTCATCAAGTCGGCTAAGGAGCGGTGATCCGGAGACATTTAACATACTATGAAAGATTGGTGATATATGAACAGAAAATTAATGTGTGTCTTCAGTAGGTGAGAGCGCGGAGCGGAATTAATTATCTTCTATGTGCATTTAATGGCACGATGGTGAAAAATGATCGAGGTTTCAATGGGAATGGTGCCGTAATCAAATTGTAGGGGATGCAAAGGTCTCAACTAGGCAATTTCTCACGGCATCGAGTGCGCTCCATCGATGGGCCATATTTTGAAGAAAGCATTGAAGAATTTTGCTGGGTTGTGGTGGTGGATCCGTGTTATTGTTGGGCTTTTTCAGTTTCCATCGTTAGAGTGATTGAAGTGACTAATTTTGGGATTTTTTTCTTGGGAAAATTTCATAACTAAGAGTTTAAGTTTTACCAATTTCAAATTTAAGAGATCAAGATTTAAAAAAAGTTTAGAGTTAAAAATTTTAAAATTTTATTATAAATAAATAAGTGAAACATATATTTTATTAATTATATATATTAAGGTCACAATTTCATATAATTTGCTTACAAATTTCATATAATTTGTCACATATTATTAATTGGTCATAAATCACAATTTTTATATATGAGAAATTATTTTACTGTCATAATTCAAAAATTTTAGAGGTCACAATTTGTTCATCGGTTTCAAATTAAAAATTTATACGTCACAATTTATTTATCGATCGCAAATCTATCAAATTAATAATCGCATACTATTCATTGGTTACAAATAACAAATTTTATATGTCAAATTATTTTACGATCACAATTCAAAAATTTTACATGTCACAATTTGTTCATATATCACAAATAAAAAATTTATACGTCATAATTTATTTATCGATCACAAATTATGAAATATTAAGGTCACATTTTAATAGTAAGTCACAACGAACCAAATAATTGATCACATACACAAAAACACCCCAACCCCAATCCCGATCCCTATCCACCACCAATACTGGATCATAAATCAACCAAATAATTGGTCACATGCAGTATCCCACCGTCGCCACTACCACAACACCACCACCAACAAAGCCACCACCACTAGATCCAATACACTCCCAACAAAAATCATCACAACCACCTCTGCCATCGTCGCCACCAACCACCATCATCATTTTTGCAACACCACACTGCACCAGCAACACCACCGCACATACCACCAATCACCACCGCTAAAACAACACCACACACCACCGCCCAAAAATCAATAATTCGTTCTTGTTCATGGTACTCCAAGGTTGCCAGCGTGGAGGCGATGGAGGTGCCGATTTTAGGAAAGCAGATGAAGTTTGTGAATGAATGGGGGCATGAGGTGCAGTTTTAATTTTATTTTCTGCTTTTCAATTTTTGATTTAATTATTATAATTGATTTTTTTTAAAATATGAAGTCACCATTTAAATTTTTACCCTTTTAAAAAATGGTCAAAACATTGTTTTCTGATCAACCAATGATTAAATGGACAGAAATCCGACCATTTGTCCTGCTGCTACCACGAAAGTAAAGATTTGGAACTGCGGACAGTACAAATAAAAGATTTGGATAAAATCTACAAAAATTGAAAGATTTGAAACCCCTTCTACAACTATCCCTAAATATTATATAATAACTCTCTTTAACATGGCATCTCAAAATGATCAATTCACTGCCAAATTTTCACTATATCTAACGAGAACGACCAATTATAAACACCCAATATTAGTGTACAGGTCAGGAGCAATGAGATTTGAGTACCAAACAAAAGCTTATAATGAGCTTTCCTTGGGCAGAAATGAAACGAAAAGCTCCTTTTATGGCTTAAAGCTTAAAAAAAACATACATTAACCGCCCAATCACCGCCACTGCCATATCATAACCAGGACAGATTTGAGCGGGAGAAGCTAAAAATGGAAAGTGCATCCCGCAGTACCAATCCAGTCCAAACCGACAGTCAACTTTACACCTCTCGTAAAATTACAAAACTGAAACTGTCATTAAGGATGTCTGACACAGTCACGTCACTAATCATTATACTAGCTTCCCAAGTTCCTGGACGAGATTGATCACAAACAACTTTCCACTTAGTTCACTTACAATGGAGATACATGAGTGGTCTCGTTTAAAAAGAGGCAGCCAAACACGTCGTTGAAGAAGTCACTTCCTTTAATAACTTCTCCTCCCTTTGTTACTGCTTCAGTGTCGTACTTGTATGCACGAGTACAGTCGGGGCAATAGGTCACCTGCATCCAATACAATAGCAGATTATTACAATTTGAGGATTTATCTAATTCCCATGAAATGATGCAATAAGATAATAATCCATTATTGACGATAAAGGAAGTTGTAAGAACTTGAGCGTTAACCCAAAACCATGGAAGGGGGCTCCTTGTCTAGACCTATTAGCCAAAGCAAATGCAGATGGACTTGAAGGCTTTCACTATACGACACTTTGACACAGTTTTCATTCCGATATCGACTAGTAATTAAACTACATTTAGTTACATTATAATCAAGTTGCCCTTCTTTTTATTCCTTTTGACCCCATCCCCGGGAAAAAAAGAAAGAAAAATAACTAAATCTTATTACATGTCCATGAATCTTCCATCCAATCTATCACTATATCTATTCGAAAAATTAGACAAAAAAATCCTTCATTGACCACAAAATTATGCTAAGTTTTATCAAACTCCCCCCTTCTAACTTATTCTATTGGGATTGCATTGCTCTTGTGACCATAATTTTGTTTAAATCTATGCAAATACATGCCCTAAAACCCCGTATATCTTGTCCAAAACTATCTTCAATTAATGCCACAACAGCTTCTTGGTGTATATTATCTGTGTCCTTCTATTTTGTCTACATAAAAACAAACATCCATCTTACAATCATCGTCTTCACTTAATTCATCTTATGAACTAATTCTCTAGCACAAACACCGAGTACCATAAAGCATAGTTAGTCTAGTAAGTAGTTAACTTGCATATTAAATTTATGGATATGTTGATTAAGACAATTGTGGACACAGGAACACCCAGCCTAATATTCTTTTTTCAATTTTTGGATAATTAGAAAAAAGTGATAACAAGAGCATCAGCTTTTACACAAAGTTCAAATTCGTTCAAACATTCTAAATACACTTCTAAGAGATGTATATTCGAGCTTGAACAGTGCCACGATCACTGTTTTTTTTTCTCCACTATTTGATAGCATGCTACATTCTTGATTTCCAGAGTACAGAGTGAATGGTAAAGACTAATACCTCCAATAATTTAGGCTGATAATGACAATCAAGCATGACATCAACACCATACATGGCCCGAGATGTTGGACTATGCATTTCTGGGTGCACAGTGGCAGCTGACTCAAAAACTGATCTGATCATCTTTTCAACTCTCACATGGATATCCATCCATTTAACTGCAACAATGTGAACATGCATCATGCATTAAGAACAATCGAGAATACAATCATCACCACCAACAGTATTCAGAAACTTCCAGGAGAGTAAAACACGTGGAAATAAGAAGCCCAGAGTAGAAAGTACCACTATGTTCGTGTTCAAATTCCTGAACAAATTCTGGGGTATTCATGTGGTTCAATCTTCCCCTGTAGTTCTGAAGAACATGCAGAAGGTTGTAAGAATTATGCATGATTAGCTACTAGTTAACCAGTGTATTTTTAACTGGACCCTTCCAGAACCCCTTGAAATTCAAGGTGATATCAACATCAATCTCAGAAATGGGTGGACCAGTGAACCGTACAAGTGGTAACTCATTGATGGCACTTACCATAACTGTGAAATGCGTCTCATATTCAAAAAGACTGCGCTTGTCCAAAGAATAAGCATTGTTTGCCAACCTAACCTGACAAGAGAAACGGAAATATACTTTCAACATCATCTATCAATGTGAAGCACTTTCTCGTAACACCCTTCTGCAGAGTTCTATGGTTACATTCTAGCACCTCCAGACTAAATAAGAAAAGTGTTTACCCAGAAAACATCAGAAATGAATATCTCCAATGGGTTCATGCTGCGAACTAAAATAATGTAACGAATATCAAACTTTCTCCCTTTGAACAAAGTCGGGTGCTCAATATACTTCTGACATATCTTCGGACCAGTCTCCATGAGACGGATGATAGCAGATAAATTATGAGTGACAGTTGTATCAATGGTTCTTGCCATGTTCCATGGTTTTAAAATCCACAAATTGTCATCTCCAGCCTTTTCATTGGTGTAGTAATCTCCTACGAATTGACTAAGCTGTGTTTCAAGATTATATGTTGGCTGGAGCCATTCAGGAGCACCATGGGCCTGTAACAAAAGGGAATAAACTTAGCATCATGTTGCATAAAATAAGATAGGTAACTACATAGTGGACAAAATTAGCAAGCTTAACTACCTTCTGAACTGTTTCTGCTAAATGATGTTTCATAACAAGGCAAGCCTCAAATGGAAATTGATTTATGTATTGTTGGTCATTCAGTCCAACAGCCTTCTTCAGCTCCTCGTCCACCTGCAAGCTTGTCCATATTATATCTGCATTCTTTGGTTCAGTTGCTGCAGAAAGGAGGGAAGATTACGTGATGAAAAAAAAAGTCATTTCATAGAAAAGGACTTTTTTAAAACCAAACTCCGATGTCAAAGATAACCCAAAACTGACATGGTGGCACTTGTTAACTGGGTCAATATACTTGTCTCATGTTGGCAAGCAGTCCATCATCGAAAAATATAAATAGATTATATATTCCTTGTGCTTGACATACCGCAGTAGATTACAACTTACAAAACCAGTAAGAAACCTAGTTGAACTTGAGTGATTGTGATAGATTCATAATTAATGACTTACAAAGTTATTTTCAGTGATTTCTCACATTATTTATTTTCTTTGCATAATTATTAGGTTAAATTAGGAAATTTTCCATTTTTATTAGTTCGGTAAACTTTCATATTTTACTAGGGACTTTAAATATAATTAAGAGTAGGGTTTTTTTTATCATGCTGACTTTTGAATTACTATTGATATATTGAATGATACCGAATTCTTCATCCCCAAATTATCTTCTTCTATCCTTTTTTCTCTCTTCTTTTGTTTCTCTCCTATTCCCCATAAAACCTGAAACTAACATGTGATTAAAGCCAAGATCAAGGATGAAAACATCATTAAAATAATCACAATCTGAAATGAAATGTAATAGTTGAAAACAGAGTGACAGCACGTACTTATAACAAATTCCGGGCGTGTCAAAAATTCCTCCACTTGAGGTATATCTGTGTAAACATGTAATGCACCTCCATCACTACAGCGCACACTATTTGTTGCAGATAGCGCCACAGGCAGGGGAGAAAATTCTGTTGATTGCAATTTAGCTCTATATTTTTCGTACACCTAGAGAACCAACAGGAAGTAGTTTTAATGAACGGTGTAGTCAGGGAATGACTAAAAATAACAGGGCTCAAACAGAAAGCATACTTTAATAAAATAATTTTGCGGGGTATGGAACCAAGCAGTAAGTCTAGCAGAACGTTGTTTCTCCTCCCCAATCCCAAACAAGAAGTCACGAGTGCACTCATCACCTCCTCGAATACTTCCAGTAGGCCAAAGGATTGAATAACTGAAATTTTTCACTAATTCAGACGTTTTTCACAAAACAGACAAATGAGCCACTTAAACCAGCCATATACTCTCGGGTGTAAGATGTGTCTTGCTCATCTTTTATTTTACATTGAAAGTAGATCACAACTAATGTATTGAGTGATATAGAAATCTTTGGTAAATCTGGCAGTGAATCATGAAGATACCTTGAACAGTGTAGGGAATAAACAAATGGTTAGAGAAAATACCTGATAGCTGAATCCAGTTTACCCTCTGGCATATACAGGAACGGTGAAACTCTAAAATTGGGTTCATCACTATGGCGCAAAGCTGAACCTAGTTCATCCATTACATACCTGTGGACAATGCCAAAAAAACAATTGAAGAGAAACATAAGTAGACACGCTGTATAAGATTACGTGTGACACTAATTATCTGCTCATTTATTATCTATTTATCCATGTAAATGATATCACCAGCTGATACATTGTTTCATTTTCGCAATTTTGCCACATTGCCTATTTAATTGAACACCTCAACAGAGATGATGAACAAGTTTAAACTCGTCATAATTCTAAATCTTAATCGAATTGCCATGCTCAAATCAAGGAGCGACCTATGAAAATAGAGTTACAAGTTCTAGGGCGAANTATTTAATTGAACTCCTCAACAGAGATGATGAACTAGTTTAAACTCGTCATAATTCTAAATCTTAATCGAATTGCCATGCTCTAATCAAGTAGCGGTTGACTAAACCTGATTCATTCAAATCAGCAGCCTTAATGACCTTTGCATCTAACATAGGACAGACGTCTTCAAAATGGGAATTTTTAAAGGCTGTCCAGCAATTAAAATTTGAAGACGGAAAGAATAAAGAGGAAAAATTAAGGGCAGACAAGGATCGCAAAGAACAAGAAGAAGATCATACAATAAGAGAAACCTTTGAATATGTCTAAGATAGAAAGATAACATCATAATGTCCCTAAGATTTTACAAGAATCTCACTTAGAATTATTTAATGGAATCTCACTGATAAAAGTAGCAAATTGCAGTAAGAAAAGGATCGTAATAATGGTCTAGACTGAGAGATATTACATTGGATTTGAGTAAAGATGTTATGGTTCTACTAAATTTAGCTCTTGTTTGCCTGTCATTCTCTAAAAACTCATTTTTTTCTAAAATTCATTTCAACCACCCATTCTCACAATAAAAGATTTTGCACATAAACCTAAAACTTTTCCCAACTTTTTAACCACACATTCTCCAAAAAAATCCCCCAAAAAAAAAACCTCTTTTTAATGGGCATCAAACAGGGGCTTAATGACAGATTGACGACAAACACTAGAATTAAGATCTTAATTGAACAAGGACTTGACTAAACCAATTATTTGCAACCAAACTGTGACTAAGAAAGGAATACAAAGAAGAAACATTAAAAAATGGACAGAAAAATAAAATACAAAAGCATAGTTATTATGGAGGCACAGGGTCACAGGTTCAATTAGTAGGTCAATATTTATACATTAAAATTTCTAAATTATTATTTGAACACTTGAATCATCAGATGTTAGTTATCATTTGAAATAAAGTTGAAGTTTTAAAAGTTTATTGTTGTTGGTAACAATAATAATTTTTTTTAGTTTCTTATGTCTTGTTTTATTGATTAGTGCATTGATATTATAAACTATTTAAGTCATTGGAATAGAATTTGAATGCTATATTTGTTAAATTTTGATTAGTATGTTAATTTTTCGTTTTAGTTGCACTTGTATAAAATACAGTTTTAAATTGAAAAATATTAAGGGCAGCTAGCTCAGCGGTTGTTTCCTCTGCATTTTCCAAAAGGTCCAACGATAAGCCCCTAGTAATGTGATTTTGGCAAAATTTGAAAGAACCAGATGGTTTAACCGAACCAGTTAGCCAATTCTTCCTAAAAACCGGCTGGGTTAACCCGGTTGACTAGCAAGTTAACTGCTGACCGTCCCAAATATGTTACCCAAACATAATGATGGTCCCGTTCGCCAGTTTCCCAGTCAGACCAGCCATCTGGTTAAGGTTTAATAACTATATACAATAGTCCCGAGACCTTCCACACCATGAAAATATCCCCCTGATGATAAATTTAACAAATTGCAACAGAATTTTCAACAGCAAGAGAATTTTTTTGAAGTAACGCTCTCTGGTCCTTTCCTTGCTTCAAGGCATATAATGTCGTGACTCTCAAAGCATCAGTGAACCACTTGCGGAGTGGGCATGTAACAAGGTTTAGAGGAACTAACACCTAGTATACAACGATCCAGCCCCTTGCTTTTTCCTAATTGCAAGCACTAAAGAAATCAAGTCTACAAATACTGTTGGAATAAGATAAAAATGATTCTGCAGCTATCATATTTATATGTGGCATTAGTTTGTGGAGACAGATGAAGTTATTTTTGGTATCTTTAATCAATGAAAAAGCAAAGTATCTAATATTTTATATTAAAGGTCACTTTTTAGACATCTTTCCTGAAGAGATCACTCTCTATACTTCATACTTAATACAGATATCAGTAACTAATAAATTGAGCCCATAGTCTAGATTAACAATCACTAAGCCATAAAAAGTTGATTATTTTGGAAATTGTTCCAAAAATGTCCTGCATTTTCAAAATAACATTAACCTTTAAGCATGGGTATCTCTTGCTTAAATAGGGGTTCTCCCCTATTTGAACCTCTACTTACTGAAAATAATCAAAACTAACTAGAAAGACAGTCTTTGAACTGGTGACTCTATTTTGGCTAGTTGAACTTGGTTCGTACACAATACCCCTACTCACTTTATCGTGCTAGTAAATAGACAACTTAATTTAAATGCTCCCGCTATTCTTTATTTCATTCACCAGGGTGGTCAACCTACAAGACTTAATCACATAGCTACGCATTTATTTATATCTACAGATTTATAATACAAAATACCCCCACACAGAAGAATTGCATTAACTCAAAGTTTACAGCTACCATTGACAAGGAACAAAGGACATGCACATATCAAGCTGTTTCATTTTTTGTAGGATTTTCTAGTAATTCTCTATTTTTTTGCCCAAAAAAACATGGACATTATTTTTATTATTATGAAAATTAACCCCACTACTTCTGGGGGCTTTATGCTTAAACAAATTGACATTTTCCTCCCAATGCAGATTGATAAACACACCTAAAAGCTTAATCTCACAGAGACGAGACATTCATTTATTTAAAGACGAGACTTTGACGCGTAACCTCACGTGCATGTTCAATTCAATTTTTTTTTTTATCAAATTCCTAACATTTACACGGTTTTCATAAAAGTGGGTGGGGGTAAGACTTGGACTCGAGACCTCTGAGTGCCCAAGTATCATGTTAAACCACATTATCTAAAAGTTTAAAGTTTTAGAGGAGAGACATTTATATTTAGTTTTCAACACAGATTATCAAACAAATGTTCCTAGGTTTTGAACTGGATAATCACTCTGCCCGCTGTAAAATGCAGGAACCAAGCACTAAGAGAAAGATTAAGGTGAATACCCACCATACAGAAGTTTCATCTATCTTTTCTTCATCTGCAAGCCTATATGTCATCAAATAAAACCACATGGAGTTGATAACGCGATCAGCAAGAGATTCTCCAGCATCCCACTCAGGAAGACGTGGTTGTAACATTGAATCGACTACAGACTTCTCTGATTCCAAGATTTTGGATGCACTGACCCCATTCAGTATAGAGAGATTAGGAAGAGCTTCAAGAATAACAACAGCATTCTCTCCAAGAGGCCCAGGAATATCCACCTGTTTTATGGCAGTTGTCAGCATCCAAGCAATATGGAAGTCAAAGATAGCTTGCTTTTGTCATATAAAGTTACCTCCAAAGCACTTAAGCTACTGAATCCTTTAAGAAATTTTAGCAAGGAGCCCACTGAATGGTCATCTAACGGATTTCCACGAAGATTCACGTATGAAAGTACTGGTAGTTCAGCAGGGGAAAAGGCCTGAAAAAGGTAGCAATAATGAATGACCAAGGAGTTGGCCTGATAATTCTCCAATGATTCATGTCTGGAAGTATACGGGGGTGAGAGATTGAAGCAGGAAGCCAAAAAAATACACCAGAAACTACAATAATAAAACAGAGAGTTAATCAAATCCCTAACCTTAGTAATAAGATTGTGAATGCACCTATTTGAAAGGTCTAGAGATGTAAAACTCTGCAATGTATGATTAGTCTGATCAGAACCTCCGGGGTTGTCTTTCTCGTATAATCCCCCACAAAATCCTAAAGCCCACTCTCCAAAATTAGGGGTCAAATGTGAATTGTAGATCTCCAACCTAGAGCAATCTTGAAGAATGGCACCTTCCATATAATTATCCCTGGAAAAGAATAGCTTCTTTTAGAAGTCTAACCTCGACTTGGGAAAATTAAAAATTGACAGTCTTCCTTCAACAAGGTAAATTTTTTTAACTTGTAGACTCACTTGTTTTTCAGAATTGGATTGCTGTTCAACCATAGGGCTCTGAGATGTTTGAATTGGGTGATCACCTTTATAACAGTTTCTGTGTCCTTCAGCTTGTTGGCACAGAGGTTTAGTGCAACCAAATGCTGATCCAATAGAAATCACAGCAAAAACAAAAATCAAAAGCATGTTGATGAAGAGCAATATAAATTTAAATGCACAGTAAGATGGTTCAAAATCTAGTTAAAAATAGGTTTGCGTACTAGTTTCACCACCTAGCATTTGCATGAATGACATACAATGAATACCCAGAGTAACCGAGATTTTAAAAGAGATAAGAGTGTAAGGCCATTTCAATGCCAATAGCACAGAGAAAGGATGTTTAGTCAGATTGCACTGTAAAGCCTGATCCAATTTTATTTAAACATCATCCCATATGCCTAATTTTTTCCTTCTACCGAAAAAAAAAAAAAAAAGATGAGAGAGAGAGAGAAAGAGATAACATTAACTAGTGAAATGGAAAAATACATAATTTCCTTAATGGAATGTAACAAAAATGTCAATATCAAGTTACTTCTTAATTGTGATTTCCAAGTGTCATAGAACCAACTTGTCCATAGAATAAGATCAACATACTGGAAATTTACTGGGCAAATCGAGACACTCAAGCATAGCATCATTAATGTCTAGATCCTCAAGATCCAACCACCTCACTGCATCAGTGCCTTCTTCTTTAACTTTAAAGAATTCTTGCTCAACTATTTCGAAGGCGCTTAATTTCGTATCACGTTCTGCATCTGCTTCCCCAGCTTCTGAATTCAAATCAATGTCCACACACATCAATGCAGCCATCCTTTCTGCCAACCCTGGAATCTCCTGCAACTGCAATACCACTATACATCATCAGAGACTTAAAGCAAAAGTTCAAAATAAACAAAAAAACATAATATATTATGGGATGCAAGCCCTGACACAAAATTACCATAAAAAATTAAAATAGTAGATCAAGAATGAAAGACTGAAGGTGGACAAATAAAAGAAAAGGACCTTTACTAAAGCTCAAGAGCATATGAGTTACTAATAGAGCTGCATTTGAACTAAATTCAGTAATTTATTAAGTGAACATAATAGACCTCCAATCCAATTTAAATATGAAAAGACGAGGGAAGACAGCAAGGGCAAGAAAGGAAATTAGTTGGGAGAATAAAACCACCTCACATGCATTTCACGCCGACAATTAGAGAGTAGTTAAGAGTGTCACATGGTATATAAGAAAAGGGGGAAGAGGGAAGAAAGCATGCTGAATTTGAGAGAAGTCTGGTGGAGAGAATTGGCCTCTTGAATGCCAAATGTCCTCGTCTTTTATTCATTTTTGCTGTAGTACAATTTCATAGAATTACAGATTCTGTTTATTGTTCCCAATTACTCCTTACATAAACAATTGTTCTCAATCTTCAATCCAATATAGAGCTATGCTTTACAATCAACATCTCCAGCATACATCCCCTCCATTACAATATTGCTGCCTAACATAGTAACAATTCTACTAGTTAGCTGATTCGCAATAGCAGCAGCAGGAGAATTCCATCACTTGAGTAGCAGTAGGGGACTCCATTCGGTCAGTGATTGAGAGTTATTTGATATGGGAAAAATATTATATGTATCATTAGAAATGTGAATACATGTATATATACAAAAGTTAGGAAGCTATCTTAGGAAACTAAATAAATTAGGATCCTAGAATCAATCTCTAATTACATGCTAAGTACATCCTGTAACACTCCC